ATGTAAAGATTCTTGATATATTTTATGCAATTGAACAGGCATATTGAAAATTAACGTCTTTAAAAGATGTCAACGATAAAATGATGCTTCAATAAAAATGACTTAATATAAACTTATTGCTTTAATATCTTTAATACCTTGAATTTCAAATCCTTTGAGATAGCAGCAAAGCGCTACCAGTACGTTGTGAATACTAATTTTTTTTTAAATTAACTGAAATCCAATGCTTGCATTAGAAGCATGTAAATTATTTAGTAAACGATTATTTTTTTTTTTATGTGGGGAAGAATATTTTATGAATCAACGCAAAGATAAACTAATAACGACAAGTGTATGTGTGCCAATACACATTTACATATATATATATATATATATATATATATATATATATATATATATATATATATATATATATATATGTATATATAAATATATATATATATATATAGGTCTATATATTTATTCATTTATTGACATGCAAGGGAGCTAACTGTTTGCAGAAAAACAGTTTACCTGTTTTATAATAAAAGTTGATTTATTCCCTTGTTTTCATATTTTTAAAAAAATAGTTTTTTTTTCAAATTTAAATGATTTTACGTTTGGTCAAGTTTTTATTTATTATTACAAAATCTAGACATCACAACAGGTTGATTTGCGAACACGTGAATTACATCCAGTCTATTTCCCGAATTGTAATTGCATTATATAAGACTCTCAATCATTTGTTACCAGCTAATAAAAATACATAGGCATTCTATATATTACCTAACTACCCAACAGTTTTGCACAAAGTAAGACACAATCGTAGTCAATCAAAGTACTATTAACATAAAGCATGAGATGTAGATGGTAGATATATTTTATTTACTTCTGCATATGACTGACCGAGGAAATGCAAAACAGCAAAATAGAAATAGAGTGTTTTCTAAATTATCAAAATAAGGTCCTTTAGATCAACAATAGTATACACGTTAGAGACTCACGTTAGAGAAAGTAAAGATGACTGGGCATAGTGCTGACAACATTATCCCTCATATTCTGTGGTCAAGACCTATACTTTATCTGCCCAATGGACAGCTAAGCCTTTAATTTGTTTAATGTACTATAAAAAAAGTGGTAATAGTTTATAACGTACTATTAAAAAAAGTTATGATAGATTATAACAGAGGCGTAGCGAACCCTCCCGGCGCCCTGAGACAAACTTTCAATTTCGCGCCCCCCCCCCCTACATTTTTTTTATTTACAATTCAAAACTGCATCTAAAATAAGTTTTTAATTTTTTCCAACTTATTTTGACGCCCTTAGAATCGGCGCCCAGGGACATGTGTACCCCTCCCCGTCGCTACGCCTCTGGTTTATAATGTACTATAAAAAAAAAGTTGTGATAGTTTATATTGTTGGACGATGTAGTAGTTGGGAGCTGTGTTATATTCTACACAAATTTTCTGTAGGAGATAATATACAGTGGTAGGGTGTAATTGACCGGAGAAAATCGATCTGCTCCAGTTATAAAACAGATCTTCGAGTAGTAAAAATATATTACAATCAGTGGCGTAGCGAGGTCGGGTGTCACCCGGTGCGGCACTTAATGGTGTCACCCCCCCCCCCCCCACCCCTCCCAGAAGCGTTGCGACCCTTCCCGGGGACAAACTTTCTAGTTTTCGATTTGCACCCCCCCCTCAAACTTTCGATTTGCACCCCCCCCCCCCTCAAGTTTTTGATTTGCACCCCCCCCCCTCAAGTTTTTCTCTATATATTTTGCTAAATGGTGTCGCCCGGTGCGGTCCGCACCCCCGCCCCCCCCCCCTCGCTACGCCCCTGATTACAATTACACCTTGTTATTTCTTGTAAGAATAATGATTGAGTTTTTATTATACGTCTTTTTAAACAGGTTTTTATTAACTGATTTGTATTAAAAACTCAGTATCAGCTGCACTAGGTTTATCATCGTAATAAGGATTTACACGTTTACACGCCAGCTACCGACAGATGGCAATTCCCCAGCGTTGTAAAATGGTAAATCGATGTTGTCGCTGTGTTTATCTAAAGTACTTGATCATGCAGCTGCCTTGTTGAGCGAAAGTTGGAAGGTGTGGCATGTATTTGTAACACTGCTGTTGATACGTGGGGGAAACTATGACAATTTTTATATGATACCGTCTAGGGAGTTTTGAATTAGCTACACTTTTTATTATGGGACGGAGTGGCCTGTGCTAAAAATCTCGGCGCAAAACGAATATCGCTATATTTGTCAGTACACTTTTGATCGGGAACGCAGTCGCACGCACAGGCCACTCACGAATTCGAACCCGGGTTCAAGTCAGTAGAACGTGTCCACCCAACTCATGTTAGGGTTAGTAAAGGCGGCTGGACATAGTGCTGACCAAACTATCCCTTCACATGCCGAGGTCACAGAAACAAGTGAACTCTAATCCACTTGCCCCGTAGACCGTCAGGTTTGAAAGGAAACTTTACTTCTACAATTTTTATTAATATAGTAAAATTCATTTTCAAAACAGATGGTCCATGGGGTAAAATGAAGTAAACTCGGCATTTAAGGGGATAGTCTATCATCACTATGCCCAGCCGCCCAACGTAAGACAGGTACCGATTAGAGCTGGGTGAACTCAGGGATACACTACGGACTTGGACCAGGATTCGTACTCTAGCGTTTCAGATTAGCAGTCGTATGATCTACCGTTCGACCACACCGTCCCATTTTATTTAATTGACTATATTTCAAGTATTTCTAAAGATCTTGCACACAGAGTTTGTAAGATAAAGCAGTTAAAGAAAACATTTTTTGTTGTTGTTGAAATAGAAGTTTTGCTTAAATCCATGTATATAAGCGTATCAAAGAAATTAATCTAATGGGTTTACCAGTCCAAGTGTACAAAAATAAATTGACACACTAAAGTTTCTCTTAGCTTTATTTGAAATTCAACGTTTATAGATAATTTAAAAAAAAAGTTTCTAATGCAAAATATCTATATATATAATTCTCTTCTGGGAGCCGTTAGAAAACAAGCTGCAAGCGCGCCTTTGCAGTCCCCTCTCTTCCTCTCTATCACTATCACTACCACCCCACCCCACCCCCACATGATCTGGTGAGCTGTGTTCACTCTAAATGTTTACAAATCGTAGAGCCGGGTTTGTTGACGGCTATTAGGGGCAGATAATTTAGTTTGAAACGATTTTAAACTTATAGGAGGTAACTAAGAGGAGGCTGCTTTCACGGGGGGGGGGGGGGGGGGGTGTAGGGTAGGGGTTGGGGGAAAGGGGGGGGCGGTTAGTGTTTTAAAGCAAATATTTTCAGTGGCAGCATTGGTACTGTCGAATTCACAAATTATGAATTACTGAAAAGTAGAAAATAAACAACTAAATAGTGGCGTATGTATGATTACGCCGCGGGTCGGCTCGTACACTTTATTGCACACGAGAATGTAAACAATGAATAGCACCTTAATAGTAGATCTTAAACATGCAAAACATATATTATTTTATAAATGCTAAGTGTTTGAATAGGAACACATGTTTTTATAAATGCTATGTGTGAAAGAATGAACACATTGGGTGTTGGGTCATCCATAAATAACGTCACGCTTTTTTCGACGATTTTTACCACCCCCCCCCCCCCTTCGTCACAAAAAGCCAGACCCCGCCCCCCTAAAATGACCTGACACCTCAGCCTACACCCCACCCCCCACTTGATAATTGCATTTGAATTTTTCTTGAAACATCGATATTTTGTCCAAGATCTTGTCAGAACTATGTCAACATAGAGTATTTTGATAAATTCCTATTACAATTTATTAAAACCGTTTCTTAAACGCGAAATAACTACTAAAACTTGTTTTCTAACCTTGCTTTTTTATAATGCAAAAAAGTGACGTCACACCATCTGAACCCCCCTCCCCCTCATCACACAGAGTCACAAAATTACAGACCCCCCTCCCCCTTCAAGAGTGTGACGTCATTTATGAACGACCCCTTTGTTGGTATTTTACAAATATTCCATAAAGCTTATTATCATAACCAGTCTTTTAAATAAATATTTTAAAATGTTCTCAGAATCTCTTTAGTACCTTCTTTATAATTAAAAAAAATATATTTAAAGAGATCGGTAAAGTAGGCCTACGTATATTATATATACACACATACTTTACTTAAAGGTAGAAATTATAGAAGGCTACATGCCATTTTAGCTTCTAATAATTATAAAGCAGTGCCTGTTTAATATATAGTAACTAGCATGCTTAAATTAAACTCACTTTGTTTTTACTGCATATATGAGATTTTATATCGCATATACGACATTGTTTATAAGTATAAGACATTGTTTATACTGCATATATTAGACATTTTACATACTACATATAAATAACGGATCAACATGCAGTGTTATTCAACAGATTATGTTAAGAAACTCAAATATCTAAAAGAACCATTAGATCTATACGAAACTAATTCCTTTTAAAAAAAAATTACAATACGAAAAATGACAATAGACATATACAGGACTCGTGGAACTAATTGCCACAAAGCTAGTGCTATAATGTAATCTAGAACACAAATCTAATCAAAAGGCTTAGAAATACGCAGGTTTTCTTTCTCAAATGTCAGGTCGAGAACAGTACACGGATCTCTGCCGGAAACTTTTTGTTTATGTTGTACAAGTACATTGATTTGTTCTCTTCTAGCCATTTCCATAAAGCTTCAACATTAGCAAACTTAGAAAACAAACCCTAATTAAAATCCTTGGTTATAAAAAGTTCGGCCTTGTTCGCAGTTTCCAGTTGACACATAGAAAATTTAGTTGGGGGAAAGATGGATAAAGTTTGTAAATTCCTTGATTGAATGAGTTATATCAGAGGCATAGCGACGGGGGGTGGGGGTGGGGGCGATTGGTACATATGTCCTCGGGCGTCGACCCTAGGGGCGCCAAAATAAGCTCATTATAGCTCCTATATTGATTATAAATATAAAAATATATGGGGGGGGGGGGGCGCCAAGTTGAAAGTTTGTCCCCAGGCGGCGGGAGGGGTTGCTACGCCTCTGAGTAATAGTGAGAAATTAAACTTGCATTTCTTCGTAATGTTTTTTTTCCATAGATATAAAATATACAAACACAAAAACACAGTAAAATATTGAAGTCATTTAAAGTATCATGGCGTTCTTGTTTTAAAAAGTAAATAAAAAAAGCCTACATCATCGGTTTCGTTTGTTCAACCTGCAGAAAATTTGAAAACATAAAGAAATTATTTTGTATCTGTTCAACAGTGTGTCATATATTCATACTCGATAACTTTTTTATGCGGAATGTGTCACAGTGGTTGGCACCGCCAGACTTTTTTTTTTTAAATAGTCACATAAATATAACTTTAAAAATAGTTTATTTAAAATAAGATAGTAACTCATTAATAAAAAATAAAATTCTACTAGATAGAAATGAATACCAGGTATTACTTCTCACCTGTATAGATGTCTTGATTCCTTTTTTTCCTTAAAAATAAAAAAAATTAATAATATTCGTGTGAATGTGTGTACACAATCTGTAATATCCTAACTTAAAAAAATAAGTATTTCTACATATAGAGTATTAGACATTAATACCATCTGATGAAATACGACGTTCGTTTCAAATTTGAGTTCTATAAATAACTGGCAGGTCAGGTGTCACACGCTACTCTCTACACTGCTGGAAACTATTTTTAACTCCCCATGAACACAATGACTGTTCACAATACAAATTAAATAATTGAGCTCTTTATTTCAATTCGATATTACTTCAAATAGATAAACACGTCTTTATGGGATGTATTTAAATTTGTTTTAATAACATTTTTATAATATACATTTTTTTCTTCTTATTTTTAACACTATAATAACGAACAAAGAAAAGAAGAAAACAAGTTAATTAAAAAGTCTAGTGACAATTTTAGCGCAATTTCCTTATGTTATCTAAAAATAGCTCTGTCGTAGCGTAAATCAAGAGCAGGGTTAGTAAAACCATTGGTTAGTTATTAAAACGTTTTTTTATTAAATAAACCTAACTACTAACTAAACTAAGCACCTTGAAATCAAGAGCAGGGTTATTAAAACCATTGGTTAGTTGAACTTGATTATCAACATGATAATCATTAAGATGGTAGATCTCTACTTCCGGCATGTATATACAACCACACCACACGCGTCATCACGTTCAATAGATGCGTCATCGCGTTCCATGGCTGCGCCATCACGTTCAGTAGGCGCGCAAGTTAATTAAAAAAGTCTAGTGACATTTATGCGCAATTTCCTTATGTTATCTAAAAATAGCTCTGACGTATGATGATGGGGTGCGTTCAAGCTAGAAGAGCGATCGGTTTGTAGGTGTTTATGTAATTTTAAAATTTGTGACCGAACGAGAGGATATTTTTGAAAACTTTCTTCGGCAATATTGTTCTAAATTATGACAGGAATCGATTGGTACATGTTTCAAGTCGCTAAGTGGTCTGGTTGCCGAGATATGGGCCAAAAACTGCATTTTTTCGAGGTTTTTTGGCTTTTACGGGAAATACATGAAAGAAACCCGGAATTTTTATGGCCTATGCTCATTCTCGTAACTTGCTTAACATAATTGCTTTTGGAACTAGTCATCGATATTGCTTCGTTGAGGAGGAGATACGACTTAAAGCCCGGACACACATTCATCCATTCATTCATTCATCCATCCATCCATCCATTCCCAGAAATGACGAGTTAATAAACGCAATTCTCCAGAATGGAAATTGCGCTAAAAAACGCAGGTAATATATTGCTGGTTACACATTATTGAATTGGAAAAAAACGAGTGCATTGTTCAGATTTAAAAAAAAAAAAACATGGCGTTAAAAAATACCGAATTAAATTTGCAACACTAGCTTTGAGTTGGAAGTCACAAATAAAAAGAAAGAAGGGAAGGCCGGGGGGGGGGGACTTACAGTAGCATTTCAGAAAAAAAAGAGAACAGGCGAACCATTAAGGAGAATGGAATTAAAAGGTGCCAGAAACTACATTAATGTAAAGAGTTTTCTATGGCGGCCCTATGTGTTCTGGCCATTGAAAGGAAAAGATGATGAAAACGATAATTTATTTATTACTTCAGTTGAAAATATGCAGTAGATTTAAGTATAGGTTCATCCTAGTTATATTAAAGAATGTCAAAAAAAGAGAAAAAGTTTCTCACATACGTTACATGTTAGTATTAAATTTACTGATACAAAGTAACGGGGCGGTAACGTAATGGCAATTACTCATGTGGTAATTAAATGTCACGAACACAATTAGCTAATAGAGCTACGGGCGGTTAAAAAAAAAAGGTCAATAATAATAAATTTTCCAAACCACTGTTGTTTGCTAAAGAACAACCACTCCCATATATATATATATATATATATATATATATATATATATATATATATATATATATATATATATATATATATATATATATATATATATATATATATATATATATATATATATATATATATATATATATATATATATATATATATATATATATATATATATATATATGTACCCATAAAATTGTTTAATTATCTATATATATAATTCTCTTCTGGGAGACGCATCTATATATAAAATTCTCTTCTTGGAGACCATAGAAAACACCAAGCTGTAAGCGCGCTCCCTACCACCCCCACCCTTACATGGTCTGGTGAGCTGTGGTTCACGCTAAATGTTTACGTTCGTGGAGCTGGGTTTAGTGACGCCTATTAGGGGCAGATAATTTAGTTTGAAACAAGATAATCAGAGGGACTCTACGTTATTTAATGTAAATAATAAAACCACGTTATTTCTTGAAAAACATCTTTGTGTATTTTGAAAATGCCTATTGGATATTATAGCCAACTGTATCGCATTTCTAAAATGTAACAATCTAGAAAACACGTTCATTAGCTCCCTTCTTTTTTTACGAGAGTATAATTCGTAAAACCGCGTAAAAAACTTGAATTGTCTCCCTTTTATTTTTTCGAGAGAGTAAATTCCATGTTCTATAGCCTAACCTAAACAGAACACTGCGGTGGATTCAGACATGAATGATCCATGAGCTCACACATACGTAAAATAAAACCAGATCAATAGTATACAACTTCGTGCATTACGTCTTTTGTGGGAGACCCAATCAATGACAATACAGTTGTTTTTTAACACCATCCCTCTACACAAACACGCACACACTCACACACAACCGCGAATCGCCATACATTGCCAACACTAGTCAAGCGCCTTATAATTTACGTGCCTGTATTCGTCCATATTACTCATTTAGATTGGCGTGTGTTGGTAGAATATGGCTTAATTATTTGACCCTATTAATGAATCCATGTACGTGACCCATAGTAAAAAAATTGTAATACAGCGCTGCTTCTATAATAGTGTGTCAGTATTCTATTTTCTATTCTATTTTTATTTTGTAACTAATATTGAATAGTAAAATGCATTTACGAAACTTTTAACTTCTGTATCTCTTAACTTCTTTTTAAACAACTTTTAAACTCGAGATCATATACTGTGATAGAAATCCTTACCTAATTAAAATTTGCTTTTAATTAGTTTATAAAACAGTTTATTAAGTATAGATTATCAAAACAAAACGTCTATTTTCTTAGACTTACTTCTGTAGAAGTAATAAACACCACCCACAGTACAGCATACAAGGGCAATCAGCACTAGAACAACGGTAACTATAATTCCTGTATTAGCAGTAGTGTGGTCTGCATTATCTGGGTACAAGAAAAAATGCCAAGATTACATCAGTACACAACTGTGAGGAATGAACTAAAGGTTAAACATTGAATGAATGCGATGTAACTACAACATAGTTCAAGCATAAACAGTAATTGTTATAGGCGGCTTACACTCAGTAGTTAGGTTGACCTATATAGACCTCAATAGCATTTTTTTAAAATAGATAAAATATACATAACAAATAGAATATATTAAAAGTGATGACGTATGCCTCATACAACATATCTATACTCCCAATAAAACCAGACCTACCCCATGTAAAAAAGCATCTGTACTCCTGCGCCCACTCTGAAGAATTGCAGACTTTGTATCCAAGCACAAGACTTGAATTAGATTGATGAGTTTTGTTGAATTGGTACGTCACACATGGTGATCCTACAGCCACATCGCTGTCACCAAACAGCACTGTTGCCTCACACGGCTGTGCTGTGTTCAAACAGCAAAACGTCACAGCCGGCTCAGGGTGCTTAAAGTGGTACTGACAGTTTTCTTTCTGCAGTGGTGCTCCGTTTAGATGTAGCACTACAGACTGTGAATCTAAGAAAACGAAGCATCGTTTAGATGTAGTACTACAGTAAATCTAAGTAAGCAATGCCCCGTTTAGATGTAGCACTACAGACTGTGAATCTAAGAAAACAATGCCTCGTTTAGATGTAGCACTACAGACTGTGAATCTAAGAAAACGAAGCATCGTTTAGATGTAGTACTACAGTAAATCTAAGAAAGCAATGCCCGGTTTAGATGTAGCACTACAGACTGTGAATCTAAGAAAACAATGCCTCGTTGAGATGTAGCACTACAGACTGTGAATCTAAGAAAACAATGCCTCGTTTAGATGTAGCACTACAGACTGTGAATCTAAGAAAACGAAGCATCGTTTAGATGTAGTACTACAGTAAATCTCAGAAAGCAATGCCCGGTTTAGATGTAGCACTACAGACTGTGAATCTAAGAAAACAATGCCTCGTTGAGATGTAGCACTACAGACTGTGAATCTAAGAAAACGAAGCATCGTTTAGATGTAGTACTACAGTAAATCTAAGAAAGCAATGCCCCGTTTAGATGTAGCACTACAGACTGTGAATCTAAGAAAACAATGCCTCGTTTAGATGTAGCACTACAGACTGTGAATCTAAGAAAACAATGCCTCGTTTAGATGTAGCACTACAGACTGTGAATCTAAGAAAACGAAGCATCGTTTAGATGTAGTACTACAGTAAATCTAAGAAAGCAATGCCCCGTTTAGATGTAGCACTACAGACTGTGAATCTAAGAAAACAATGCCTCGTTTAGATGTAGCACTACAGACTGTGAATCTAAGAAAACAATGCTCCGTTTAGATGTAGCACTACAGACTGTGAATCTAAGAAAACAATGCTCCGTTTAGATGTAGCACTACAGACTGTGAATCTAAGAAAACAATGCTCCGTTTAGATGTATCACTACAGACTGTGAATCTAAGAAAACAATGCTCCGTTTAGATGTAGCACTACAGACTGTGAATCTAAGAAAAAAAGCCCCGTTTAGATGTAGCACTACAGACTGTGAATCTAAGAAAACAATGCTCCGTTTAGATGTAGCACTACAGACTGTGAATCTAAGAAAAAAAGCCCCGTTTAGATGTAGCACTACAGACTGTGAATCTAAGAAAAAAAGCCCCGTTTAGATGTAGCACTACAGACTGTGAATCTAAGAAAAAAAGCCCCGTTTAGATGTAGCACTACAGACTGTGAATCTAAGAAAAAAAGCCCCGTTTAGATGTAGCACTACAGACTGTGAATCTAAGAAAAAAAGCCCCGTTTAGATGTAGCACTACAGACTGTGAATCTAAGAAAAAAAGCCCCGTTTAGATGTAGCACTACAGACTGTGAATCTAAGAAAAAAAGCCCCGTTTAGATGTAGCACTACAGACTGTGAATCTAAGAAAAAAAGCCCCGTATAGATGTAGCACTACAGACTGTGAATCTAAGAAAAAAAGCCCCGTTTAGATGTAGCACTACAGACTGTGAATCTAAGAAAAAAAGCCCCGTTTAGATGTAGCACTACAGACTGTGAATCTAAGAAAAAAAGCCCCGTTTAGATGTAGCAGTTCAGACTGTGAATCTAAGAAAAAAGCCCCATTTAGATGTAGCACTACAGACTGTGAATCTAAGAAAAAAAGCCCCGTTTAGATGTAGCACTACAGACTGTGAATCTAAGAAAAAAAGCCCCGTTTAGATGTAGCACTACAGAATTTGAATCTAGGAAAATAATGCTCCGTTTAGATGTAGCACTACAGACTGTGAATCTAAGAAAACAATGCTCCGTTTAGATGTAGCACTACAGACTGTGAATCTAAGAAAAAAAGCCCCGTTTAGATGTAGCACTACAGACTGTGAATCTAAGAAAAAAAGCCCCGTTTAGATGTAGCACTACAGACTGTGAATCTAAGAAAAAAAGCCCCGTTTAATTGTATTACTACAGACTGTGAATCTAAGAAAAGGATCCTCCGTTTTTATAACTAACAATATTTTTTGCAATACTAATACTAGCTGATTTATTAAAAGTAACAAGCGTCATATTTTTTACAAATAACTAACACTGGTTGGTTTGATCTAGCTAACAACCTATACAAACTTTAAAATAGACGATATCTGAGGGTATGAAAGGCGTATGTGGGTGACTTTTAACTACTAGTGCGGTAGAAAGTAGGAATAGTTATCAGCTAGGGTTCTGGCATAGGCCTATGTGCTAATTTCTCGTTCGAACCATTGTTTTAACCATATAGGGGACGGGGAGGGGGGGGGGCTGGGTAGTTTTGTTACGTATATTATTGTGTAAACAAATATAAGGTTGAATTGTTATCTTACGTTATTTATAAATCCTATTAAAGCTATTAGGGCCAAATTTATATCACTAGATAAGACATCCGTGAAAATTGAGCAGGCAAATACGAATTATCCGGTCTTCGTCCTATCATGACATATTTAAGTTTTTATTCAAAAGATTTAAATTTAGAACAACCCTAAAAAGCAATACAAATAATAGTTATATCAATTTTGGTAAAATCAATTTAAAAAGAATTCCTTTATAAAAACAACTTCCGATTGAAATATAATGTGTGAGTAATTTAACGAAGTATATGATAATTTCAAACTTCTTTCTACTAAATGAAGACAGCATTCTCTGTGAACATGTTATTTAAAAGCATAGAGTAGGTAGTCTTATGTACTCATAACGTTTCGTGTAGACCGCAATATAGACTTATGAAATATAGCCATTGTTTCTTCAAGACTATTTTCTTCGAGGGGGGGTGCACTTGACATTTTTTCGGGTGGGGGGGGGGGGACTAAAATTTCCGGGGGGGACGTACAGTGTTAAAATTATATATTTTCTATATAAATTCCATTTCGTTTTAGGGACGGTAGACTTTTCTAGGGGGGGGGGGGATGCCTGGAAGAAACTATGAATATAGCTACGACTTTGATAACACGATTTCTTGTAGTTTTTTTTTAATAAGACGTAGTATTGAATCGTTACCAAAAATTTCAGGAACTTGTTGAATGTTGCTGTAAAATTGTTTGGTGGCTTGGCTGTACAAGTAGCCACGTATAGAAGCCCTGCTGTACTTGACCTTGGCCGTGACATTGACGACCATGTGAAGCACGTTGTCCTGGTCTAACTGCTGGCAGTAGCATGGCGATGGCAGGAACCCATTGCAGCCTTTTGTGATATTCACATGGCAGATCTGTATGATGGGAGGGTGATCTTTCCTTTAGTAGTGTTCTCGTTTAAACTGTCAAACATTTACATACGCTACACAATCAAACATTACACATTACGCACCACATATCACATATCATGCACCACACACCACACAACACACTCTATACACAACACACTGAATCCACACAAATACACAGAGATAGAGAGAGAGAGAGAGAGAGAGTCAAGCACTATATTTATTTCTACATAAGAATATGATTGCCAGACATAAAAGAAGGCCATTTAACCAAAACTTAAATATCCACCCAGCTTGTCGCTATTTAAATGCTATGAATACTTGTAAAAAAAACATCAGGTAAGTTCTTACAATAAACATACTTGCTGTGTAATGTCTTAAGACCATTTGCTTTTAGATTTACATTATCGGATTATGTTGGCCAACGTAAAAGCCATCCGATGTTTTAAAACTCAACCCTAGATATGTCGAATCCCTTTTATAAATACAGAACGTAGCAAGACCAAGTGTATACATTATAAACAAAACCCTAGCTTCTTCGTCTTTGTTCTTATATGTTATGCGCCTTATAGGCAGTTGACTCCTAGTTCAGCCCACTTTTCATTATGGATTTGCTTCCATAGCATTAGTCAATCCAAAAATAATCTACAAAGCAGCATTTTGTTTTTAAATTTTGACGTTTTTTCTCCTAGATAGTTTGCTGTCCCTAGCTTTCTAGCCTCATCTTCCTAGGGGTTCGAACTCGCGAATTTTCAATTTAGCGACCTTGATCTTTACCGATTCGATCACGCTTACCCCAAAAACCGTTTGTTAGGCGGTAGAACCCGCACGTGCTTGCCCGAAAGTCAAGAGTTCGGAACCTCTGCTTAAGTAGTCACATGACCGATTTGCTCCTCATGTCCAAAGTAGATGCGCCAGGCGGAGAAGAATAAAAAGATTGACGGAAACCCTCGAGTCTAGCGGCTGGTCACATGGGTGAACGAAACTCTGATTTCTTTACGTTGTTCCAGTTTGTATGGCCAGTGAGCGAAAGCTTGAGAGAGTAGACACCGTATACAAGAAAGAGATGGGACAAATCGCCATGGTCTGCTAGTGACACACGTGCTTGTTAACCTGAGAATCACAAGTTCAGCACCAGCTCGAACATCCCTATATCCAAAGAATGTGACACATTGAGGAAGGAAACAATAATACGGCGGTACCAAAAAGTAGAGTAGCAATATTGGTGTTGTGTAGTGGTGATTTTATGAGCATTAATAGAGCCGATTATTCCCGTAGAATAGTTAGAGCAATAGATGAGCTCTCTGCTTGTATTTTAGTAGATGTGTACACCAAAGGAATTTCTTTTATTTTACTTAACGCTATTGGATGTTAAAACTGAAAAAGTTCAATAAAACAGAAAGTAAAAATGAAAGTTTCAGACGTTCACTCCACACTTATAAATAACTATGTGCATTTTTATATTATAAGTACAAGTCAAGTAAATTAACAATTGCTTTACCCTGCTATTATAAATAGCGGCGTGAAAGAAAATATTTGTTTTTAGTTAGACCTAGACCTATTTCTCATGTACCGTCTTTACCGGCTAGCAAGCGCGCAGCTACCGCTAGATGCCCTAGATCTAGACCTCTTTACTAGTTTATACCTTCTTTAATATTAATTTCCTAACTCTAACCTAGCCAGAAATACAGAATTTGTTACAACACAAAAAGACTAACTAAGTATGTGAAAAGAAACTATAGTGTAACATGCGTCATTCAACACATACTTAAACAACACACGTCATCTATCGATGTAACCACAGCTGTTAC